TCTCCAATCCTTTTTACCTAATGAACCAACCCCCCTGCCCTACCAAGCAGCTCACCACCAGGTCGACCAATTCCTAAGGTCCCTGACCCCGTGTCCAGGTCACCAGCTCAACACTGACCGCACCTGCCAGACACCAGGCACGGGAATACGGTGAATCGCCTTTGCATAACACAGGACCAGGAAAATAGTTGGCAGTCAAAGATTAATTGTTGAGTGAATCAACAGATGAAACAACCACAAAGATCTACAAACACAATCTTACCCATACATCAGGAAGACCTTTCACCATCATCCTCTGCCATTCCCATTGTGTCCTCTTCGGGTCCACAAGTCTCCCCTCCTCAGGCACCAGCATTTCAGCTAATCCTCTCTCCTAAAATGATTCACAATCTTTTGGCCATTTGTTTACTACAAATACATACAAGCTCCTCATGAAACATGTGCTAGGTGGCTGGTTAAAAGGCTTTGTGGATTAGCTTGGGAAATTTCATTTATTGCCCTGTTCCTTTCTTTTTTTTTTTTTAAAGATTTTATTTTATTTTTATTGGAAAGTCAAATATACAGAGAGAAGGAGAGACAGAGAGGAAGATCTTCCGTCTGATAATTCACTCCCAAAGTGATTGCAACGGCCAATGCTATGCCGATCCAAAGCCAGGATCCAGGAACCTCCTCCAGGTCTCCCACATGGGTGCAGAGTCCCAAGACTTTGGGCCATTCTCAACTGCTTTCCCAGGCCACAAGCAGGGAGCTGGATGGAAGTGGAGCTGCCGGGATTAGAGCTGGCGCCCATCTGGGATCCCGGGCATGCAAGGTGAGGACTCTAGCCGCTAGGCCACGCCACCAGGCCCTATTGCCCTGTTTCTAAGGAAAATCATATTTCAGGCACAAATAGCCAAAGTCGGAAATAAACAATCTGTGGGCCCAGAGCAATAGCCTAGTGGCTAAATCCGCACCTTGCATGCACTGAGATCCCATATGGGCACCAGTTTGGATCCCGGCTATATTCTGGCAGTTATGGCTACTTTGGGAATGAGCCAATATATGAAAGCTCTTCCTCTCTGTATCTCCTTCTCTATGTGTATCTGCCTTTCCAGTAAAAATAAATGAATCTCTGTTAAAAATTTTAAAAATAAAAAATTCAAAACAACCTATTTTCTTTGGGGGTGTGGAGGAACTGCAGGCAAGGCCAGCAAAAGTCCTTCTTGCAACTGCAAGTATCGAACGACCCACAAAGTGAGACTGCTCAGAAGTCTCTAAGCTAATCCCAGGCTGGGAGCTGAAGGGCCCTTATCTACAGTACAGAAGGTGCTGGAATCAAGCTCCTACTTAGAAGAAGGACCATGATCAATACCCAAAAGACAAACACAAATGCACACCCAGGGGCAACACTTCTGGGTCTCTGGTGACCATGAACCTGAAGCAAAGAATCAGCCATGAATCACCAGAGTGCACACAGATATAAGAGAATGAAAAGCTCATATTAAAGCACAGATTTCAAATAAGCCATGGGTAAGGATGCAGTAGCTCTATTCCACAGTGCAGATAGCAGAGCCAAATTCACAGCACTATGAATTACATTTCCTTATTCTGCTAAAATCCAGTTCGTGCTATGAATTTGGTTCTCACTCACCGAGTTTTAAAATCTCTATGTGATAGAAGAGATAGGTGTGTGTGTGTGTGTGTGTGTGTGTGTGTGTGCGCTTAGTTGATGATTATACAATAAATGATACAAGATGACTGATACAGGAAATCTCAGCCGGCCAATGAATGACTCATTCTACACATTTCTCCTCTGAATTGGTAAGAAGAGCCTGACACACCAAAACAGCTTTGGAGCTTAATTATCTTGGGTGTAAATATTTTCAAAGTTTATTGTACATTTCCCTGCCTTCTCAAAGAATATGTTCGAAAATGTATCCCTTTTGTATGTCCGTGTCATCACTGGCTATCAGTGATTGCTGGCTTACTCTGCCACACAGTGATATGCAGGCGCCCCACCGATGTTCCCACACTAACGTTCCCAAGCATTTGGTGCGCTGGCTCCCATTCTGGTGTCTGGAGTTACAGCTTTTCTTGTCGCTTTCCTGCTTTGTGGGCTGTCAGGAGTCCTGGCTCACTGCTGTTACAGCAACCTAAACATGCTACCTCATACACACCACAGTTTTTGGTTTTTTTGGTTTTTTTTTTTTCAAACAAAGAAAAACTTAAGGGTCTGGCACTTGCAGCAGCAGTGAGGCCTCCACCGAGGACACCCACACTCCTTGTGGGAGTTCCCAGGCTCCAGTCCCAGCTCCACTCAACTCCAGCTTCCTGCTAATGTCCACTGTGTGAGGCAGCAGGTGACGGCTCAGATGCCACCCCGTAGGGTCCCTGCTACCCACGTACACCTGGACAGAGTTCCCAGCTCCTGGCTTTGGCCCAGGCCTTGCCAGCCTTGGCTGTTGACAGCTATTTGTAGGAGGAATCACCAGTAGATAGTGTCTCTCTCTCTCTCTCTCTCTCTCTCTCTCTCTCTCTCTCTCTCAGCTTCCCTTTCCCTCTCTCTCTCTCTTTAATATCCACTTGCTAAGTGGAAAATTTCACCCCCTTCCTGGTTTTTGGCTGGGGTCCTGACCCGGACAATGACACACTACAGACTCAGACATTCAATGACAATCTCAGATGCTCTCTGATCCTCACATCCCAGAAGTAACCACCTGCCCCATCTCCGCCATCACAGGCCCTCCCTGATGACTCTGGACCAACAACTGCTCAGGTGTCCATGCGGGATGAGAGGTCAACACAGGGCCTGCTGTTGTGGCACAGCACATTAAGCTGCCACCCGTGCAGCCTGCATCTCACAGAGTTGCCAGGTTGTGTCCCAGCTGCCCAGCTGCCCCATTTCTGATACAGCTCCTTGTTACTATGCCTAGAAAAGCAGCTAAGGATGATCCCAAGGGCTTGGAACCCTGTGCCTACATGCTAGACCCAAATGGAGTTCTTGGCTTTGGCCTGGTCCAGCCTGGACACTGGTTCCACTTGGGGAGCAAACCAGCGGATGGAAGACCTCTCTCTCCTTCTCTCTTCGTATAACTGCCTCTCAAGTAAATAAATAAATCTTAGCAAAAAAGATCAACCCAGAAATGAGAAGATGGTCCCTATAGTTCACATATCTACCTCATACAGCAGCATGAAGTAGTAGGTATTATTTACCAAAAAGTATAAGAAAAATTTTTTCAGGTGAAAAAAAAAATTCCCTGCTGATTTACAAGTAACTCACAAGTCCAATTTTTGGTATCAGATGACAAGATTCTTAAACTAAGTCACTTATCTTAACACCATACATCCACCAGCTTTCCTCAATAACCTCACCCAATTGGACAATGGTCCTCTCCCTTCCTCCAGGGGAAATAAATAAATAAATAAATGTCGCCCAACCCAGTAGGAACCTAAAAGTGAACCAGCACAAGAGCGTTCCAAGGGACCCTTCCAGCAGCAAAGCCACGCATGCACCACCAAGTACTGGAATCCTTTGCATTTGGTAACACGGTAAAGTTTATGTAATCTTATTTGTCAAGCCTGAGAAGGCAAAACCAGGCAGGTGAACAAGGCTGATGGTTGCTGCTGTGGATGAGGGTGCCAAGCCAGCAGATCTGTGGGGACCTTAGGACTACTTCAGGAGGAGGCCAGTCCCTCTGCTGTTTATAAACCGGGGAGCTTCACCAAGGGGGACCTGCCACAGGCAGCCCCAGGGCGGCAGTGGGGAGTCAGGAAGGCCTCCAGGCTGGGGCTGCCTGGCCTCTCCCGTCCTTGGGACCGCAAGGTCCTTTGGGTGCAGTCCCTTGTGGTCAGGAAAAGGACTGTGAGGATTTCCAGCAGACACTTTCACCCTCGTATGCTATATATGGCAACATCCCATTCTAGGGTTTTCAGCATCACACCAGAAGCCATTCCATGCCAGGGAGGGGAGGGAAGCGGACGGCAGGGCAGGGGGAATCTGGCTCTCCCTCCTGTGGGAGCTAGGTGAACTTACTCCCTTCGGTGTACCCCAGGCCCCTATTCCCTGGAGCCCAAGACCCAATCAACAAATGGCAGCCCTGAGAAGCACACAGGCCGCTCTCTCCCTCCCCCCAACCCCGGGCAGGGACCCCTGCCTTCTTCCCCTCTGCATAAACACTGGGGGCGGGGCTGGGGCTCTGTGGGCAGCACTCAGGAATTCCACCGGCAGGGCCCACCCCGCCCCCACCACCCTCAGCCCTCCCCCATAGAACCCAGGATGGAATTGTACCACCTGGGCACGCAGGAGAAACTGCCGGCCCATTCACTCTGCAGATGAGCTGAGGTGCCTTTGAGCACCAGAAGACAAACTTTCCCAAGAAAACCCAAACCGGCAGCCCCCACCTGGCCTGCCTGTTACCTCCACCAGACACCCTGGCTACTAGAGCCACGTGGGAGGCGGGCGGAGGCGTGGGGACAGCAGGTGTAACCACTCCACAGCCTACCTCAAATGCAGTTCCAGCCATCCATGGGGGGGGAGGGAGCAGGGGGGCAAGGGGGGATATCAACAATAACCTTGATTCCCTTGCCTTCTCCAGGCTCGGATGTACACCTGGCACTCCCCAACCATCTCACGTGTTGCTCAAATTCAGCGAGCCACGCTGTCCAAAAGAACGAGCAGGGGTGGGGGAACAGCCCAGAAAATCCAGACTCTACGTGACCTGACTGACTTATTTCCCAGAAAGCTGCATGAGAGGGAAAAAAAAAAAAAAAGCAAATATTCACTCCACCGTGGAGACCACACCACAGGGGGACCCAGGGGTGTCCGAAGCGGCCAACGGAGGGAGCGGGAGGGGTCTGGGGGTCTCCGGGTGGGGCCAGCGGACCTCCACCACCATCCCCAGCGTACGCGTCTCCTGGAGAGGGAGGGACGGGCCAGGGTCAGGAGGCAGAGCCCAGGCTGGGGGAGCAGGGGGCGTGTGGGACCGCTGAGGCGGCGCCGGCGGCGGCAGCGGAGCACTTACCCGGGCTGTTGGCCTCGCCCTCCAGGACGTGCAGGTCGGCGCAGTCGGCCAGCGAGTGCTCCAGGCAGAGCTGCAGGAAGCGGGCCTGGGTCTGGCTCACGCGCTTGAGCAGCGACAGCAGCGCAACAGTCTGCTCGCACTCGTTCCAGCCCTTAAACCAGCCCGCCAGCACCCCGACCTGGTCGCGAAACATCATGATGAGGGGGCCGCGCTCGCTCGGCAGAGCCCCCCTTGGCGCCCCTGCGCGCGCGCGATGCGGCGCCGCGCAGCCCGGCCCGAAGTTTGGTGGAGCTGGTGGTGCTGCTGGTGGTTGTGGCGGCGGCGGCGGCGCCGCAGCCGCGGGAGAACGCGTGCGGGTTCCAAGGTGGCTGGGGGCGCCGGACGCTGTAGGTACTGCCTCCGCGCCGCCCCTCTCCGCCGAGGTCGGCTGCGTTCCGCTGGGGCTGGCCGGCTGCCCCCAGACGGCGACTGACAGTGGCGCGGAAATGTTTCGTTTTATATATATATGTATATAGTAAAATGAAAAATTATTTTTAAAAAATCTCTCGCAAGGCACACAACTGAATGAAGAACGCTCTTTCCCCCTTCTCGCGGCTTGGCGGTGGTGGTTTCCGGCGTTGCGGGGTCTCTTCCCCACTGGGCGGCAGCGCGGACCCTTCACACCCGCATTCCCGAGCAGCGGATCACCACTGGAGGGGGGGGAGAGAGAGAGAGAGAGAGAGAGAGCGCTGCAGTGAGCCCTCGGCTAGCCCCAGGGGCGCGCGGAGAGGGGGGCTCGAGGAGCCGGGGCGGGGGCGCCCACGAAGGCGGCTACCCGAATTCCAGCGTCCCCCCTCGCGCCCGGCTGCGGACAGGCGGCCGGGCGATTCCCGCCCGGGGCGGAGCGGGAGGCTGGGTGCGGAGGGGGTGGGGGGCGGGGTGGTAGAGTGGGTGGCCAGGAGCCTCCTTCCCAGGTGCGGGAGGAGCCCCGCACGGCTCCCCTGTTGCTGCCACCACGAACGGCTGCAGCTGCGGGCACTGCCCGCTCGCTTGGGGCGGCCTCGGGCTGTGCCTGCCAACGCCGGCTCCGGCAACAGATCTTCCCGGCTCAAAAAAAACTTGCACTGCGGCTGAGGAGGGGCGCGGGCGTGGGGGCGCGGGCTAATGAGAAGCAGAGGCGGAGGCAACAGCAGCCCGGATTCCTTCCTCCTCCTCCTCCTCCTTCTCCTCCTCCCGCTCCTCCTCTTCCCGGAGAAGCAGCCGAACGGCTGCAGCTCCATCTACAGCAACAGCCAGCATCTCCACCGCCCGGCGCCCCTCTGGATTTAGGCCGTGAGCTGCCGCGGCAGCAGCTTGAGACAAAAATAAACTCTTCCCCACCCGGAGCTGCGCGCCCAGCGGGCGGCGGCGCGCAGCCTGGAGCCCGGGTTCCCCTGCGCCGTGCCGCGCCAGCCTAGCCGGGCGGCGGGCGCTCTCCCGGGGCCTGCACGGCCACCAGCGGCCGGGTGCGTGCGCGCCGTGTGCGTGTGTGCACGCGCGGGTGTGCTCCGGACACCCCGCCTCGCCGCCGACGACAACGACGACGGACCCATCTGTCCGGCCCAGCGCCTCGCCCGCGCGTCCCAGGCCGGAGGCGGAGTGGCCCCAGGCGCACGCCCCGCGCGGCCAGCCCGTGCCCGCGCCACCGCTCCCCTCAGCGGCGGCCAGGGTTGCGTGGCCCGGAATGTGGAGCTCCGCAGTTGGCACACGCCCCCCAACGACAGCAAAAAAAAAAAAAAAAAGTTAGGCTTTGGGGCTCCCCTACTCCCACCCCGCTCCTCTCTCGGTTCTGGCTGCCGCGGGTGGCGGAGGAGAGAGAATCGAACGGCTGCGCCCTCGAGGGGTGGCCGGCGCCCAGCATCCTGCCTGCCGACTCCCCAAACTTGTCCGACGGAGGGCAATACCTCCGCCACCCCCCCGAGAGGACCTTCCCTCAACTCCCCAGCGTCCAGCAGGCTCCGTCCGTGGCGAGTGGCAGACAGAGTGCTTACCTTGGAGCGGTTCATCCTGGCGGCTCTGGGCGCCACGAGCGGGTCCGGGGCCGCGGCGGCTCTCAGCGGGGCAGGGCGCGCCCGGGTCGCGGGCCGCGGGCCATGCCGTCGAGGGCGGGCGACGCGGGGAGAGTGCGGCGGGGCGCGGGCGCTGCCACGGCCGCCGGTGCTGCTGCAGCCGCCTCCGGCGTCGACTGGCGGAGGACTGAGCCGCCCGAGCCGGAGCTCCCCACATGCTACTGATTAACATACACCATTACATCATGGGCTTGGCAGGGAGCGCCCGAGCAGGGGGGAGAGGAACCCGGGCGGCGGCGCGGCTCGCGCGGGGGGGAGTCGGGGGAGGATCCCCAGGCCCGGCCGCCGGCGGGGAGGGGAGGAGAGGGGGCGGGGTGGATTCCTAAGGAGGGGGGACCAGGCAGGGGGAGGGGCGGGTGGGAGGAGTCGGGCTGCCCAGGGGTCGGGCTTGCAGGGATCGGGGAATCGGGCGCTCAAGTTTGGAGAAGGAGAGGGCGCGGGCGAATTCCTTTCCTCTGCCCCCGAGGCTGAGGAAACGGGGGGGGGGGGGGCCCTGGAGCTGGCGCGGTGCTGTCCCCCTCCCCACGCTGCTCGTCCTCGGGAACGTGGTTCGCCCACTCCAGTAACCCCTCTCTCCCCATCTCTGCTGGAGCCGCCCACGGAGTGAGGTGGTGGGAGGGGGCCGGGAGTGAGTGTGTGGCCCCTCGGGCCTTGGACACTCGGGGTCACTGCCGCTGGGTCGACGTGAAGCGGGGGGTACTAGGAGGGGATCCCTGGATCCGGCCCTAGCCCGCAGAGAGCAGGAGGTGTCCCGAATGGAGTGCCCCACCCCGCCCCCATCTCGACCCTCACGGATGCTGCATGCCTTTCGCCCCGGCCGGGCGCCCTCTCCCGGCCTGGCTCTCCCAGGGGAGCCTGCCCGACCTCTACGACCCGCCTGGGCGGCTGGCAGGGAGGCGGGCGAGCGCGGCCCGGGGCTGAGGCGAGGCCAGGCCACCTGTCGGCGCGTCGGGGTCGCGGTGCGCGCGTGCGGGCCAGCAGCCCAGTGCAAGGGGCGTGCGACTTGGAGGTCCCCGCGGGCCAGCTAGGCTGGAAAGGCCCGAGAATCCCTCCTGCCGCTTCTGGAAATAGAGGATCGGTAAAAACAAACAAAAAAAAAAATCTCCAAGTCGCTTTGCCGTTTCATGTGAGCGAGTGACTCAGAAGGAGGATTCGCGATCAAATCCCGCCTGTCTCCGTGTTTTCTGAGGAGACGCGGGGCTCTGGATCTCTCTCTCTCTCTCTCTCTCTCTCTCTCTCTCTCTCGCCCTCGGGCTGCCTTCGTCCGGGAGAAGCTCCCCACTCGGGCCAGCCCGGGATTGGGAAGACGAGGTCCGCGAAGGGCGTACTCCACGCGTGAGCGCGGCCGGGCCTCCAGGTCCAGCCCAGGTCCCCGCAGTGCCAACCCCCAGCGGGAGTTTCTGCGGTGTTTGTGTGGTGTCGGACGCCGGACCTGTTCTGTCAGGGCGTTGGCGGGTGTGGTGGGGAGCTGGCGGAATGCCGTAAAAACTGGATTGTGAACTGAGAGGGGAAAAAAAAAAGTTCTTCACTGACGAGCCGGGAAAGGTATCTACGTATTTCAACGAATATTTTGCCCTATTTAGGAAACAAAACAAAAATTCTGGAGTCAGTATTTGTTTTTATTTTGTTTTATGTGTTACTACTGAGACGGAAAGCCTCTGATCTCTTGGTTTCTGTCAGAACTTACTGTCAGCTAATCCTCATCATAGCCGCTGTCAGGAAACCTGGCCGCCCCGCAGCACAGACCCCTGCCTGCGAGCCCATGTTTCCTCTGAGGGCTCCTGGAAGCCTCCAGAGTGGTTTTTTTTTTTTTTTTAAGGAAAGTGAAGGTGAAGGTGAAGGAAGCGCTGGTTTCCTCAATTTGCTTCTCGTCGCCTGTAGCTTCCTAAAGTAGTACGACCGAAATAAAAGGAAACCCAAAAAACCACCTCTTGCAGCAGCTTTTTCGAAACTCTGCTTTGGGCTGATGAAAAGAAAACAGTGCCACCTGCCGGAAGAGCGGAGTTCTCACCGCAGCCTTTGACCCGGGAAGAGGTCTTGGTTGAGCTGGTTCTGCAGAACTTCCCATCCAGGACCTTCTTGTTGCTGGAGCAACGCGGAGACAGGTGTTTGTCCCTGGGAGTCCCGCAGTCCTGCCATTGCTTAGCCCTGCTTCTATGCCTGCATGAGAAGGGGCTGCGGTGAAACCCGGGGATGCCGCTTAGCCCGATATCCCCTAAGGAAGTCAGGGTCTAAAGTAAGGAAGGTGCCACTCTGCTACGTGGACGATTCTGTGTTCAACGTGAATTTTTTTTTAACTATGTGAGCCCGTACCTACTTATTGTTGCTCATTACAAGTGGCCCACAAGTCTTCACTAGCCACATCACTTGGAAAGGATTGTAAATATATGAAAAAGCAAGGGACCGTTGCTGTATTCTTTTTTGCTTTCATTTTTATTCATTTGAAACATTGTTCCTGGGTACCTGTCTTGCACCAGGTAATGGACAGTGATGCACCAAGTACCTTCAGTGCACCAAATACACAATGATGCACTACCCAAAGGCGTTTTGCATGAATGAAAGATGGACAAGATAATTAAAGGAATTAATATTCAAAACAATTGTTTTTCTTTTCTCCTTCCTGAAATCAGGTAAGGGAAGAAATTAGTGTTTGCTTAATGAGTAATACTTCTGCTCAGATAGCTGTTCAATGTTTCAAAGATTACTAACTCCAGATAATACGGTGCCATGTGGAGAAATAACAGCTTGAAACAAAGGCTACCTACCATTTGTATCATCAATGAGGCATCCTGAAGGGCCCATGTCTTTATCCTCTAAATTCATATTTTGCTGCAGCAGTGAGAAGTTAAGTGGAAGAAATGCATGGATATAGATGTATCAGGGTTGTTCTCTTTAACAGTTTACTTTACGAATGACCAAGAGTTTATTTCACTCTGCACACAAGTAAATGACAATGACTAATTACCATTCATTAATCATGTAATACATGTATTTTGAGCATTTATTTGGTACTAGGCTCTCAAGAAAAAAATGCTGACAATAGATGGTGTCTTTTAATCAAACATAAAATGTCTGTGTTGGGGACAGCAGTATGGCAAATCGGGTAAATGGGTAAGCCTCACCCAGGATGCCTGTTGAGTTCCTGCTGTTCCACCTCTAACCCAGCTCCTTCCTAATACATTTGGGAAAGCAGCAGAGGATGGCCCAAGGGTTTGGAACTCTACAACCATGTATG